CAGGATCAGATGTTTTCTTGTTTTCAGATTCAGGGAGCTCCTTAAAGCTGTTATTTGTGTGTGCAGTTGTAACACTGAGCCCTCTATGCCTTCCAGGGTCCTCAGTATGCACCACATCCACGGTGCTGCTATTTTGATCCCCTCTTTCATGTGGAATTTCACAATCGCTCTCTGAGGTTTCATCATTGCCTTTCAGGGCCTCAGTTTCAGCTGTTTGTTCGTTCTCTGAGTTGGAGGGATCTGTGGGGTCAGATGGGTCAGGGCTGGAAAGTGGGAACTCTCCCTCAGACGAACCATTAAGTTCTGCTCCAACCACTGTGTTCTGCTTCCCTGCGGAAGCGCCTGCTCTTTTCCCTTCCAGTTCTGCAACTGCCTGCTCTGTCAGTTTAATTATCTGACTTCCGAGCTTGTTTATTTCTTCTTCCTCGGAAGGTAGCTGGGGTAATGAAGGATAAAAATGTTTATTTTGGTTTCTGTTATTTAAGTTTGTTCCCTCTGGAGCCAGGGACTCAGTTGCAACAGCACAAGTTTCATCACGTTCTGCCTTGTGTTCTGCTGAAAGAGAAATGGAACAGCGGGATGCTCTAGTCAGTCACAGGTTATTTATTATATACCTGACCTGAAGACCGCCACCACCAGTGCCAGGCCACAGAGGTGTTTACCTCAGTAAGGAATTTCTCGGACTGATTCCCTATCCCATCGCAGGCCCGTTTCTTAGGTGACAAGCAATCAACACTAAGTTTCTGGCTGGATCTGGCCATGTTTTGGAGCCTGTCTTTCCCTAACAGCAGGGTCAGGCACACTTTTTCAAAGGAATATCAACTCTAAGCAAGGCACTCAACTACAAAAATTTTTAGCACAGCTTAACATTAATCCCCACATCACTACCACTTTCAGGGGGCTAACACAAGCTCCATTTATTTGGAGCTTTTCACAGGCTTTCATCCAATAATGAAGTTTCGTTATTGGTCCTGCAACATTTCTCCTAACATAAAACATTATTCTAATTCGGGTAACAGTATAAAACAAAGCAGCAGTGGAAGAATTTTAAATATACCATTATACCAAAAGGCGAACGCTGAACAAAGTGTCAGAATAAAGAAAATGACAATATGTAAACAAACAGCTTTGTGAAAGAGAGAGAATTTGTCCTCATCTCAGTTAAGGACAAAAAGCCTCGTTGAAAATAAGCTTGTGAAGTCAAGTAAGAAAAATTAGGAAACGCCAGAAGTACGGCTGCATTGACAGCTTAAAATGACTCTTGTCATGCATACGCATAGCCTTTTAGTCTATGAGCATTTACGCTATGTCTCCCGCAGGAATCCTGCCTCAAGCACTGCACAGGACAGCCTGGCTGCAGGGAGGGACCAGAGCTGCACAATACAGGCGCCTACCGTCTCCACCAGACCTGCCTCATTTATAATTTGGGAGCTGCTGAGTGAGTGAGACAAGGGCTGGCATGAAGGGAACAGATACTCTTACTACCATTAAGAAAGCTAGGAATGCTACTCTGAAGAGCTGGAATTTAACTCTGTGGAAAAGGCAGGGATAAATTAACTTTCAAAAGGTGATCACCCACTGGATCTAATCCTCATTATCTGTGTGCTCAGCTGGAAACCTAGGAGCTTGATTTGCAGTACTGCTCTGCTCATGTTGCATATCTGAACACGCACACTCAAAGCGCTCCAAAAAGAGCCAAAACTTATTTACCTCAAATTGGCACTCGAAATTAGCAGGGGCTCTACCTTATTCTTTGCGTGCCTCATTTTCCTCCCTCTACAGTGGAATAACACCATCCCATCACCTTGCTGCAATTTTCTGAAGATAAATTGCTTCAAAGCACTAGAACACCAGAGAAAAGTTCATAGAAAAACAGTACTTTTGTCTTCAGGGAATGCTTGAAATAGCGCACAGGCGATACAGCAGGAACAATGCACTCAGTAATGAAGAGGAAAAAAACCTGAATAGCTGTTCCTTAGCAGCTGCGATGCTCAAGTACAATCTATCCCACGACACTATCCATCCTGTGCATTGGATAAACTGAGACTTGGTGGCACACGACAGTCTTTAATTCGTATGATTGTACTATGGCATTATACATTTTCACACAGGAACTGCACAGTATATCCTACAGACTTCTACCATCCAGCTTAACTGAAACAATGATAACAAGTGCAGACTAAAACAGGCCTTGATGAAATCAGGGTAAGCAGATAGATTAGATAAAAAGAGCCTGAAAAAGCCCTCTGATTATCTGTAGACCTAGCTAGAGCAACATTTGATGTATTATAGAAAGTTCTGATAAAGAACGCTTGTTAGTGCAAAAGCTAAAAATGTTTCCTGGGCCAAACAGGCACCAAATGTCAATGGTACTATTTAAAGGACCGTAGCTGACGGACGTGACATCAGGCCTAGTATTTAAAGATATGTAAGAATTTCATTGCTATTCTGCTTATCAACTGTTTTCACTCAACTGATCATTCAACTAATAGGAAAATAAAAGTGGGTTTATCTTTATTTGTGGAATACTTTTAAACCAAGGGCATACTTGCTTGGTAAACAAAGGCAGATGAACACATTCCTATATTCTTCCCAGCTGCCAAGCTCCCCCAGGTTTTGGAGATACACTGTACAGATGAAAAATTGCAATATGCACCAAGCTCCTAAAACTCAACAATAGACAGTCATTCTCTATGCAGAGTGGCACGAAAGATAGTACATACGTGCTCATCTGTGTCATTGAAAAGTTGGTCCAGTTTATTTAAACTATCAGACCGGTGAGTTTTGTCTGAGTTCTCACTGCAGGTTATCAGGTATACTGAGCCACATTTAAAGGAAAAAACCAAGCTGCCTGTGCAGGCAGAACAGTAATTTCTTAACCTACTCCAGTTCAATGACAGGATTTCTGTGATTGATCTTGGCTCTCTTACAGCTATAGGGTGGGGAGGGGGAAAGAGGGTGACGACCTGCTGGGAGCAGATTCTTCCCATGACTGCCACAGGCCTAATCCTTGTCTGCCTTCTCCTCTCCAGGGCTGTTTCATTCTACTCTTCTCTTCCCCTGCCTAGCTCTTTGCTCCTGCCCTATATCCCTTTATCCAGTCCCCACACTCACTCTGCCCATTTCTCATCCACCTTTCAATCTTTTTTATCACACCTTGCTTTCACTGTCAGCATTTTGATTCCTTGCTCCTGTGCTCTGACCTCTGCTCAGCCAGATGCAAGTCCCCCCTTGCTCAGGCTTCCTTCGACTGTCAATCCCCATCTACTCTAGTCTTCCCATCACTTGAGAGTCCTGATCTCAGCCTTCCTCTCCTCTCTGCTCCAGGGTTTTTTCCCCTCTAGCTGTACATTATCTTGAAGGAATGATGCATGCAGGGTTTTACCAGCGTTGGTTGCACGAAGCAAGCTCAACAGAATCATTGGCTTGTTTTTCGTTGTTTTTAGCAATGGAGATTTGAAAGTGAATGGTTTAGAATGGGGTGGCAACTCCAGCCTGTTTTCTCATGGTGGAAACCTTTTCCCCAGATTTCAAATTCCTTTCAATTATAGATATATTAAATGCTTGCATGTTTAAAAAAAAAAAACAACAAAAAACAGACAAAGAAAACAAAACCAAAAAACACGTGGTCATCAGAATTTAACACAAAAAAGTGATTTGGCTCACATTAAAAAAATCAGCTGAAGTAGAAAACACAGCATGGAAAGCTTCAGCCCAGAGCTAAAGTTTGGCAGTGTTACAAAGCAACAGAAACAGGGTCTGATGAGATTTGACAGGCAGCTTTAATCAAAACCGTAATACCAACCTCACCTAGGACAAATACGTAAAGGAAAGGGCATAATGCCACCCAGTAAATACTTTCAGTATTTAATTAAAAATCAATGATTAAGCAGGCAAAAAATGAATATTTATGATCACCAGTAAACTGTTCACTACAGTTTCACCTCTTATTTTTAGCAAAAATATCAGCTGATCAAGATCATAAAAAACGATCAGTCTGGCTGTCAAGTTTTATCAGATGGTGACATGGATAATAAAGTCAAAATTAAGCCACAATCTATTTAGTTTCAGAACTAACAAATAAATTGTTTATGATGCTTCATGGTTAGCTGAGTAATATCTGGGCATACCAAAATGTTATGCCCATTAAAGAGCTTATCCAAATGCCGACAGGCAAGCATAATAATCCATCTCCCATCCATTATGAAAAACTAGGGGGAAAAAAAAAAAAAAAAATCAAGGTTATCAGCAAAACACTATCTTCTGCTACTGTCAAATAAAGTTAAGCTTGACTTTGGAGAGATGTTAAAGCTTGCTATTGGGGAAGGATTTTTAACAAAACACATGCAAGACTATAAAAAAAAGCAGTCAATTTCTCTGGGAAAACGAGTCAGGTATTTCAATTTACCGGGCGCAATCAGGAAGCCTTTCATCTAGATATCAGCTATAATGCAGGAAAGTGCTAAGCGAGTTCCACAGACTGCTCTCCTACCGTGCATTTTAACTGAGGGAAAAAGAGCAGGAGGCAGTTAACTGTAACATAGATGGCATGAATAACTTCTCACAGTATCAAGTTATCTGGCAGGAAAATTCTTTGAGGTGTAAGACCTGATCCCTAGCCCTGTGCAATCTATTCAACAGCCATTTTTCAGTCGTTTCTTTGCTATTTGTACTGGGACCATCTATCCATTTTACTTGTGGATGATTTATTCAATCTCTGTGACCACTGAAACTTTGCTTTCTGCTATCCCAGCATGAAAATTTACTACTTTTTATTTGGAAAGAAATGAGTGCTCGGCTCTCATCATGTTCCTTACGTTTCAGGTGCTCACCTTGTACTTCAGTTTTCTGTGGCTTATCAGTAAACGCTAACAACGGTGACCTGGACCGCTGTATAACAGGCAAGGTTGGGTCACTGAATGTTATGGTATCCTTTCCACCTGAAACAATCAAAGTGTTACAACTATTAATTCACCAATTACATCCATTGTGCACTAATGATATTCAAACACATCCGACAATTTTTTTGCAATGTTACTGAAAAATACAGAACAGGAAAAGCATCTCAAATGATCCTTCTACAGCACGGAAAAAAATACTCTGTACTGGAGATGGAATATGCAAGTCAAATACAGAAAGGGCATATGTTTTTACCCACGGTACTGAGTAAAGGACAGATTTTGAAAGAAGGCCAGGTGCTGTATGCAGCCAATTGTATTAGCAATTAGCATTCAATTCAGAATATTAATAATCAGATCATACCAAAAGTTTTACAAAGAGTAATGGATCATTTGCATGCTATTACCAGCAAGCGTTCAGCACTGACTCCTTACTCTCTATTACTCTGCCTCAGTGATGACCCTGCTCATATCACATATGTAGTTTTACACTACAGACACACACATATCATCCTACAATGCTCCCTTAAAAAATATTAAAAGCTTAGCATAACTAAGAACTGAGGGAGCAAGCAAGCATACATTGCTGGGGAACAGGAGGGATTTTAATCTGAAAATTCCAGAAACATTTCTGAGCATTTTCATTTTAAGCCAAATGGAAAAGGGCAATTTTCCAGCTCTTTTGCAGACAAAATAGTGCAAGAAACTCTTCAGCTGAGGACTCTGCTGTAGATGCCTAGTCTTTACGTATTTTAGCAATACAGAAAGCAACACCTGCAGATCCTTTAGGAAGCCCTCCACTATTCAGCATGCTCATGTTTTTAGTGACTGACACTACCTTAAACCCAGAGGGGAAATGGCAGGAAATGTGCAAGATCAGCTAAGCGTGGTGTTTGTGTGGCCTCCAGAACAACTGCCAACCAAAAAGTAATGGCCGGGGAGGCGGCAAGCTACTGCTCTATTTATCTCCATAAGAACGGACATTTATGTAACAACCGCTTCTCCCCTCTAAATCTGTTTGTACGTTTCACCTTAAGGCAACATCCTAAATCTAATCACCCATCCAAGACAAAGACTTTCAAAAGAGCACCAGGTCAGGAGATACCCGGAATAAATCCAGCCCTGAGAAAGTTCTGGTGCCTACTAAGAAATAATGAAAGTCAAGCTGTTCCCATGGAGTCTAACTGGACTGCCCCAGTCCCTAACTACTTTTGAAAGCCCTGGCTGTAAATACCTTGATCTTGAAGGTATTAATGATGTTTTTATATCCTTAACATGTTGGGGTATATACTGACTGCAGCAGTACAAATGCAATTAATGCTTTTGAAATATGGATCTTGTCAAGCTTTGATCCCCCTGTCAAGCATGCATCAGAATTCTGCCTTCACCATAGCAATTAATAAAAAAAAATATTAACTAACAGCAAACTGGAGAACCCCCCCAGTGTAAGGCAAAATTAATTAAAATGAAGAGAAAAAAAAAAGGGGGGAGGGCAAAACAAATCCGATGGGTATTTCAAAATGCAAAAGCCCCTAGACGAATGCACTTTCCTGTAACAGTGAAGGACTTTTGTGTTGGAAGAAGAACTAAATCATACAGGGAACTAGTGGTATGAAAACATCCAACAGATATTCATACACAGTCAAAAGTAGCCACATATCCAAAAAGATACAAAAGAATCCAAGAGGAAGTAAAATTCAAAAAGATGATGAAAAAAAAAATTGGGGGGGAGATTTAAGAGGAAAGCAGAAAGCAAAGTCTTTTTCTTTTTTTTTTTTTTTGGAATAAAAAAAAAGTAAAGCCTGAGCTAAAGTCCCTGCAGATTGCAAGACAAGCTTCAGAAAAGAAACTTCTTGACTTCCAGCCAGCATTTACACAGTAAACACATTTGCTTTCACATTTTTCTCTGAAAACCAACTTGGTTACAGAAAATAAAGCTAAGCTCAGTATCCACACATCTAAGCGATGGATGTGGCCCAAAGAGTCAAATGCATATTTATTTATTAACAGTGACTCTCAGCCATTCATGGAGGAGGGACATGGGGGTACTGCTGCACTATATGCTGTGAATCATGATCTGAAGTTGGATTACACACAGGGAATTTCAATTAGCTGCCGTGTAAGCTCAATTTCATAACTTGTATAGCTTTGTGTTCCTCTACTTAATGACTTTTCCAAGGACTTTAGTGAAAAGTATACAGATCTCAAAATAAGCAGACAAATAAGTTTTCAGTAGTAGTAAATTCTTCATTTTCTTCTCCAGGGTTGGGTATCCTCTTATAACCTCTGCTGCACCCTACCCCTCGGTAACTGGCTATCCACCCAGCAGCGTTAATTCCACCTTGCCTCTGCTCCACGCTGATTACTGCAGAGCAAGCGGCAGCGCTGACACTTTCTTATCATCACAGACAGAAAAAGGCTGAGTCATGGTCGGCTCTTTTCTTGGGCTTTTTTCCAGTGGAAATCGGGAATTTTCAGGAAATGATAGATTTTTAAAAAATACAGAATTACTTATCTGACTGTCTAGTGACATCAAATTGTGAGAGGAACAAGGTGGTGTTCGCTGTGTACTATTACTGAATGCACTTAACATATTATGCACGCATGTTTGAACCACAATGTACCTAAGACAAAGCAAAGAATTAAATGCCGCTGCGAACGTCACGTTCTCTGCTTCCTTCTCAAGGCAAGTAGGCTCATAAAAAGAAAATCAGAGCCAAATCTATGCCCAAGCTTGCTTTCTTTTCAGCAATGAACGTTGCAAGAGATTCATTTAATTAAAGCCCATTTTCCAGACAGGGGAAGCTAAAGTTTGTGGTAGGCAGAACTTCTACAGAGAATTAACTATGCTACCAGTTTCACCATTTCAAAAACTAAATATGCACTTCCTCTTGATTTAGCTTCCCCATAGTTAATTCGTGCATTGCTCAAAAAGCAGATGACAAATATGCCTTCTAACAAAAAATTAGAAGCGGTCAAGCTCTTTCTTCAATAGGATAAAGCTTACTAACATCATTTATTAACACCATTTGGAAGATATTAATATCATAGTGACAGCGGATGTTATAAATGTTATATGGACAACGATGCCTAAGTAGGAACATTAACTTCAGATTAAAAACCTGCAATTTATAATGTGCGTTTCTTTCAGCGCTAGAATGAACATCAGCTTTCATCTGCGTATTTTTTCCAATGACGAGAAGTTCAACTCACAACCAAATAATAGTTTTTTCTCTCTGGATTTAAGACTGACTGGATGAGATACTCTCCATGCTCTGCCCCTCACCCGAGATAACATTCAGCTGCAGAGTCCACTGTGGTGGTTCCCACACTGTTTGTTACACGCTGCTGTTCTATGGAGCGGAAGCTTTCCACGCTCTGAAAACTGGTGACCCACCAGGTGTTGCAAGGCTCTTGCTGACCACCTTGGGACTAGACTGCACTTGGAAACAAAAGTGCACTCTTGATTTAGAAGGCAAGCAGCAAATCAACAAACCTTGGGGTTCAACAGAACTCACAATCAAGTGTCATATTGCTTTACAACTCTTTGAGATCATCCTTTCTTACTATTTTCCTCAAGTTAAAGGAATTGTCTTGTAGAACAGTCTCTATTTCTCTTGTGGTCATCTAACTCACTTGACTGAACATCTTAATCTGTCAGATATAAAAATGTTCAGATAATATTTCCGTTTATTTACATGCAGTGACAATATTTAACGTACTGCTAAAATCAGTTACTAAAAATATACGTCAATCAGAACCTACTCCCAAATCCCACTGAGACACTGTAGCTCAGGCCTTCAGGCAGCAAAAGAAAGGAAGGAAAGAGACAGTTGTTATTGTATAAACATTAATTTGATGTCTTACCTACATAGACCAACAATGGTGCAAGAAGTTCCCACTGTTCAATTTTTTTAATACATTTTGCAAGGATTAGAAACACTGCATTTATTAGTGTATGAATTTCATGGAACACTCTTTTTGAAAAAAAAAAAAAAACTACGGTACCTTAAACTGGTGAGTTTATGATACACATTTGTACTGATGTACAGAACCTCATTAGGAGGGTCTTAGACAAATATTTCACCTGCATCCTTTCGAGAATGTGGGGAGGGATAAATGCACTAAGGTGACTAAATGAAGAGTAATCCACGGAAACACATTTGGGACCTTCAGTTCTGGAAAGCGTCAATAAGAGCCAGTTCCAGAAAGGTGATTGAGAATGCCTACAACGGGCAAGCTAAAGTGGAAATACACCCCATCAGGCCAAACGGTTGAACAGCATAGGTTTCACAGAAGGTCTCTTCAGTTTTGTCAAATGTTTTCTTCTAGATGGAAAGGTGAGGTGGAAAAAACACAGAGTCAAAAAACTAGAAACCTAAGCCACGCTATCTCCCACCCCCAGTAGCACTGATAGGAGGCTGTAAACAACAAAGCCTAATGATGCAAACACCAACAATAGAGTAGCATAATTTACAGCGGTTAAAGAAGACACAATTAGGTGTAATGGGAAGAAGAGAAGCAAAAAGTAAATGTAAATTAAATATTGCACATTTTCCTAACAGCGAGGCATATTAGGAAGCAGATTAATCTCCCATTACTTAAGTAATTCAAAACCAAATACAATACTTAAGATGCTACAGGGAATAAGCCCGTTCTGGAGAGATGGACTAGAAAATTTAAGATCATTTACATTTCCAATTTCTCAGAGTTTATGATTCTACAGAAAAACATTAAAAATACAGCAATAAAATCCATGGAAGTTACAAGAAGTACAAAATTAATAAATAAAATTTGTTGAAAAACATAATGGCCAATATCCTGTGTATCATTTTATACAACTGTTTAAATAAAATAGTTTTGGGTTTTTTTGCCTGCAGACTGTGGAGACAATTTGGTTATTTCCAGTATTTAAAACTTTTTTTTTTTCAGTATACATATTTGACTTAAAGAGTCTAGTGATTTTTGGTTTCAACTTAACATTTATTAGAGGTTTCTAATTTCGCAAATGTGCTGAACAGCACATTCGCAAAATAACTGTCATTTAAAAAATTACAGCCAAGCTTTTCTTAAATGCAAATATACCCTCAGAAACTAAATAATGCAAGCTGTTCTCTTGAGTTTTTACTAACCTGGAAGACTCCACAAGCCAGCAATTTCCAAAGTTCTTAATTTCTTTTCCAGTTCTGCCACTCGATTACCTAGAATTCTTCGGAAAAAGAAAACAAAACCAAAAGCCAGGGATAGTCAGCTGAGATGAGATTGCTTGTTATACTAAGAAAACCCAATTGCTTACGTGACTACAGTTCAATTTTTAACTTGTTACTTAACTAGGGCAGTAAACCTGTATGCAGTCATCTCTTTTCACTAATGGCAATGGACAACCACCTCCAGAGTTAAAAGAAAATGAAGTACAGTTGTCTAATCTATCCCATGGTTTAAAAAAAAAAAAAAGTCTAGGATGTACTGGACATTCAACCTTTGCCCTTCCGTAAAGACAAAGAATAGCAACTCACGATATTTCTGTTTCCTTGCCTGCAAATCTCTCTTCCCAGTTACTTTTACTTTCTCTACAGCTAAAACCAGAAGGTAAAAGCTATGCAGACAAAATATGGAAAACTCGAGGCAACATCTAGATTCATTTTGAAGTTCTAAGACACAATTTTGGCCTAGACCTTTATTCACAGAGGTTTCTCTAGCACTAAGATAGCTTAAAATAGCAAGGAATATCTTTTCCATTACATCTTTGCTTTTAGAGCTGAACTCTGTTCTCTACTTTACTGTTTTCTACTTCACTAAAAAGCTTCAAGCTTTTATCACCCACTCTTAGTTTTCACTGCATTTCTTGGGTCATCTCTTCTTTTGTATCTGACTCCTACACAAATACTATTTGCAGTTAGCTCTCCTGCAGGAATTAACTTTTAGTCTTAATTCTCTCCCAAGATCAAATGAGAGATTTCTATCTTGCAAAGAGAGCTCTTTTTTCCAATGAATTTTTGAAAGTGTTTCTCTCACAGGCACAGCAAGTCTCCTAGAGTTAAAAGTCTTTAAATAAATCCCAAACAATACTCAACAGAGTGAGAAACCTAGACGAGGCAGCAATTCTAAACATGACAGCAGAGATAATGGACAGCAAGTTTTACTCATCAAATTACAGCAACAGGATAAGCCAGTTAAATTTGAATGGAATGCTGAGAAGCAGCATATCACAACACACTAAGGCAATAGTATCTTCCCATGCTCACCAGAGCTGTGTAATGCTGCACTGTGTGCTCTCCACCAAGGGTTTTATGCTGCAGACATTTGAGCATACTGGGAATGTCATTACTGACAAGATGGCAATATCTGGGAAGGACGTGAAGAATAGCAAAGCAAACCCAGCAAATGTCAAAGGGGCTAGAAAAATTGATTAACAAGGACTAAGTATTTTTGAAATCTCTACTCTGAGGGCTCTGCAATGACACAATGAAAGCCTGTAAGTATTTTAAAGATTACAAAAATATCAAGATGAAAGAAAGAATGTGAAAGAGAAAGAGAAAGCTTATAATAAATATCAAAGAAAGCACTGAAAGGTACAGGGGTGTATATCAACTAAAAAGCAAACAGTCCATTACCTTTACAAGCAGCGGAGAGAAGACATTTGGGAGCAGTTATGTTTATTTCTCCACTGAAACTCAGTAATCAAATAGGTTACCAAGGTTATGATGGATCTATTGCTGTCTTCTCCAATTACAATCAAAACTGTTCAAGTCTAGATTTTGTTTTCAGAATGCTTCCATCTGGTATGAGAGACTCAGCCTTAATAACTCTGCTTTCATATCCCAGTGCACGGCCCGACACCCGGCAACTGCGCTCTGCAGTACAAAGGTGATGGAGAAAGGCCCAGAGCAACTTCCAAGAAGCTCTACCTTGGGCACAGGGAGCCCGCTCCCATCTCCCTGCCCAAGGCCCCACCAAAGGTCAGCCAAAGGACGTGGAGTTCCCCTGCCTTAGAGGGGCAGGGAACAGACAGAGATGATGCAAGACTTACTCCACGTCATGTTAGCTCAGCCAGGGAGCTGACAACACAAAGTTGATGTGGCTAATGACTGTCACCACAAACGGGTCACAAGTTTAGCACTTCCGCCAGGAAAAGAAAAAATCCTTATTATTTTCCTAAGTAGTTCACCAGTAGTTCCAGGGCAGAAAAGCGGGGAAAGATACTGCCCTCCCTGTGGGCTAGCTGTATCACAGAAGGAAACTCAACCCTCTGCATCAAGTGCAGTTATGGCTAGTGCTCTTTTTATTCAGACAACAATAGCAAAGTCACTTTTCTCTTGCTTCTTTTAAATTTTATAATTCATTTATCAGCTGTACCACACTATTTCTAAAGGTTTTGGAGCAAATATATCCTGATAATTCCTACTGTATTCTTAGAAGAGGCGCTGAGCTATTTTCTAACCTTTGTTGCAGGCTCTCACACAGAAGGATCATTCTGCAGCCCTGGACAATGGCTGGCAAAAAGAGAGGACAATACTTAACCCTGCTCCTTTCATTCAGGAGGAGAGCGAAATACATTCAGTGACGAGTATGATTCCAGTTTGCTCCAAACCACATGGTCTGAAGACAGGTATGGGAGAAATGAACCCTACATAAAGCTGCCAGTTCTTACAGGAACTTTTTTTGAAAAATAAATGTGTAAGCAATCCTGAACACAGTGTGGTTTATCCCATTCCTTCCTTTCCCCTGTGACCTCCAGATAATTTGCCACTCCATCTGTGCTGTGGGAAGACTGAGCTGTGGTGGCCTGGAACAGTAGGTATTTTTAAAGGGGCTGCATGGGTTGGTAACATCAAATTCTCTAATCTATTTTTTTATCTCTAGCCATAGTGGACCAGATCCTTTGACTAGAACAGAAGGATCATGTCATGGACAAAGGTGCTGATAGCATTCCTGTTGTCCGCTGGTCATGTCTCTAATGCAACAAGGGAGTTAGTCTAAACCTCCCTCCAGGATAAGGTTTTACAGAAATCTGTTGTTCACGCAACAGGAATGCTCCCACCTAAATTTACAAGCTCCTTTCTAGCTCTCCCATGCTTCCCAACATACATGGCCATAATCTGAAGGGAGCTGTGCTGATTTAGAGCACCAGAGCTCCGTTCACCTCACCTTCAATTTAGATCTTGCTACAGAAGGCATATACCCTCATACAGATACAATCACCCAAATGTCTGTAAATAGGGTCTGTCACAGTCGCATATCTAGTTCTATACATCACATAGAAACATTTACTCAGTTACAGACTGACACAATCCTTTTTGTAATTTTGGTCATGACCAAGCTTGCCCAAGTTAGAAATGTTAAAATTAGTGCAACGTCTCTAAGCAGCAGAGCAGCTTCTATGCTGATCTGGCTTGCATGGGTGCTGGCAAACTCAGGAACAAATTGCACTAAAAAGAACATCTAATAAATGGTTTATTGCTGGTAGAAGAAAAAAAGATTTTTATCCGCTTGCTAGGCAGGGTTAGGACTGATTATTTTTGCATTTATGTAACTATTTAATCTTGCAACACATTACTGCATACAGAATTCATTTACAATTGCTTTTTCAAATGAAGCTACTGTGCTTGTTAGGAAAAACATAGGATGTTACTTAAACTTAGCAGTAGTAGCTACCAATCACCTGGGGAAAATGACCTGTTTTGTTCCCAAACAACTTCTTTTTTTCTTAAAAGTGGGGCTAAAAGAATTAAAGGCTGGATTTAGCCCACTTGTTCCAAGGCACATACTCCCACAGCTCCTTTTCCCATGCCACATATTTAGAAAAGCGGCAATAATAATAGTGTGTCTGTTCCAAGAGCAAGTGGCAACGGATGTTTTTAACAACAGTGTAACAGCAGAAAGTCAACTTCGACAGCACATCCAAATTCTAATTTATGTAAAAAAATCCACTGTCTTGTTTTTGCTTCAGTTAATCAGAAAGCAAATCTACCATTCTGCTATTGTGAACTTATACAGCCGTATCTCAATCCGCAAGCAACAAAAGAGGCTTTGACTTTAGAGCAGGTTAACTGTTTGGAGGAAGATAAGTTCATACTGTTTGAAAAGTCTAATTTACAGATAATAGAATCACTAACAGGTCAATCATCTATAAAATATCAAAAGCAGAACTTCTTCCCTGAATGAAACAACCACCTCAAAATCTCATGTTCTTTACCCAGTAGCATCTCACCTGCTTCACACAACAATCTGAAAGAGTAACTGTGTCCTCCACACATGCTCTTTGCACGGGGAAAGCCAGGCAAACAGGACAGAGGGGTGAAGGAGAAGACTTCCACCTTCTGATTTATGTAAAACCTTTTGTCGTTACAATTCTCTCTAGCCCCACATCCTTCTCAACTTCCTACTTTGAATGGAGAGATGTTTTCAACAAAAGAATGCACCTTCTACTAGTACCAGTTTATGGACCTGCCCATTTTACTTGTGCACTGGCCTCACTCTTCACCTCTAACCTTCTCCAACAGGTGGGCAGTTGCTTTCTCATTTTCAGAAGCCAGCAGTCTTTACTTGTAACTTTTTACATGGCAAATAAGTGCCCCCAACAACTAGCTAATGAACTTCAAATAAAGGATGTTTTTCCCTGATGTCCTACGAGCGTTTCTCTTTTACACTTTAAGCCTTCTGTTTCTTAGGTGTTTCTACTCGAAGTTGTTCCCATTCCTCCTAGCTCCTTAAAAGTTTCTTTAATCCACCTAAAGCCAAAGCTGACAAGAAGAATGAGCATACCACACAGGAGTGTGGCTGAGGCTCTTCACTCAACTTGCCTAGGATTTGTCTTTCTTTTTTTTTTTTCCCTGAAGCATCCTGAACTGAACACAACACTACAGCTCTGAGCACGCTCCTGACCTGGGAGAGATGTGGACTGCCACCTCCCTCTAAGATCTGATTTTCTATTGGGCACAGGCTACTAGTTTGTGCACGCATCCAGTCTCTACTCCTGTGGCCATATATGACCAGTTGGGCATGCAGATAAAAGAATCGTATCTCCTTGTGAAGGCTTATCTCAAGAAAACCCATACTCAATACTTGAAAGCAGAGACAGTGGTATCAGAAAGTAAAGCCATCATTGCAATGATACATTTGAGAGATGCAAGAGACTGTATGTGATCAAAGAGAGTTAAAAAATTAAGAAAGAAGTTTCCTATGGTTATAGGCAAACGTATGCAAACTCCAACATCAGGTAATGATACAGTACCAGGATGTAAAAGGCAAAGACTGGTTATAATTGGAATAACAAAAGTTATTCCCTCGATGTTTTCCTTCTGATGTTACATTAGCAGTAAGAGGGCAGTAAGCAGGTGTTAGCCCTTCACTAGCACTGCTCAGCGCAGGAACTGCTCTTGCATTACATGACACACTTACAGACACGAATTGACTGAGCTGCCATCAGCTAGATCTGGGCTACATTTTCACTGCTTTAGTCTCTTTTAGCTGATTAGGCATTTGCTTTCTCAAGAGTATTAAGAGTGGCTATAAACTGCTCTTCCACTTCTGTTGCCACATCACTAAGAATTATGCAATGGAGCCTGCCTAGTATCAGAGTTATCAATTTTCAAAATGAATCATCTATTCTAGTGCAATACAGTTTACTTCAGTACTACTCCTTCCTTTCATGAAAGATGTCTGCCTGTTTCTGGCATCTGGTCCTGATGTGCTTTTGAGAAGCCTGAATAAACCTCTGATTACCAGTAGTGACTCAGTGTTAACAAAAAAAAAAAGGGGGGGGGGAACTGAGCACAGAATCAAGGAACACTTCCTAGCTCTGATTTTCATACACTGTACAAGGACAATAATATCAGAATGTCAGAAAATGTGTCAAAAATGATTATATTCTGCCATGATAGGAGCTGTGCGAGACACAAAGAATTTTACTGATGAGTAGTACAGCTAAGAGTAAACAAATTCTCCTTGAAAGTTCAGTTCAGATTTTTCAAAAAAATCATATAGTAGCAATCCAACTATGTTTATCTCCTACAACTTTTGGCAAAGTAACTATAGGAGCAACAGCTATCATTTGTACGACACATAGGCCACTAGCCTGTGACAAATGTTACACTAAATCTTTTCAGACCCTTTCCTAGGTGCAACATTTACTACTCCCACCAGTGTTCATTAGCAAATTCCTACATTAACAACCAATTATCACATATCTTCTCCTCCAGTTCAAGGATGTCCTTCCTCCCAGCAGCTTTTCTTTAGCCCTCCCTACAGACTACCTGCTAGAAGTCCCCCCTGTGTTATGGTTTTTCTTAAACCTGAGCAGCAAACCAATCCTTGCCTAGCAGAGGCAGACAGGTCTCTGTCAACCCCAGACTTTACCACAAAAACGTGACTTTTCTCTAAACACATACCTGATCTTAAAAACTAAAGAATCCACCAGTTAACAATGACAATGAATTTTCTGTGAAAATGGACCTTCCTTCCCATGTCCCCAAAACTCCCCCAAAACTATGACTTTTCCATAGCTTGTTAAGTTCTATTTTACTTAGAAGTCATGCTACCTACTTGTTGGTTTGCCTTTGGTGTTGTATGACCATGTTTTTTTCATGGATAGTTTCCAGCAATGCAGTGGCCAGTGATTTGAGATCTGAAATGGACTGTGGTGTGGCTGGTAGGCTACATCCATGATCCTCCGACAACAACTCTTGGACTATAATGTTAAAAACACAAATGAGTTTTGGCTTCTCATGCACAGAGATGAGACACAAACATTTACTTAGCATTAAAGAACTACGCTCGTTACTTAAATGAATACATATTTTTTTCCTTCAATTAACAAACAAAGCTAAAAGACCAGAAATATAATCTCTAGCTGGCATAAAGATGGTGGCTTTCTAAACCAATCGTTATTCCACAGCAATTGCCAGAACAAGTATAGGCAGACACATCTTACGTTAACTTAATTCTGCTTTTGGAAAATTATTTTTGTTCAGAAGGAAACAAACTCATTCTTCTACAGGCCTACAGATTGGTATAAATCAGTCACTTCTCTCCCACTTACATTAAAATATAAGCCCACAAGGAAGCTTTTATATTACTTTCTAGAATTATGATATCCTTCAGGTTATTTAAGACTGATGTGAAAATACAGTCACCCATGAACTCTTCCTCTGCAGCTTAGAGCCTGTACCTCTCAACCACATCAAGAAGTTCACTAGTATCATTAACTTCTGTAACTAAAATGTGGCTCTGCCTCTTCTTTATATATATATATATATATGCACACACAAGTACATGGAGAAGAGGACAGAAGAGAAGTCAAAAACAGAGAGCGAGTTTCAACCTACCATGACAAATGCTACTGATCTTGTGTGTGTGTATGAATACACCAACACCTAAACAGTAGGGTGCCAGGTATCCTCTTTGGCTGAAAGAATTTTCTCTTCTTTCTTTCCTAATTTTGATATTTTGTTTGAAGGGGGAAAAAGAAATTACTGCATTTTGCAATCCCATGAAGAAACATGGGACAAAAGGATTTCCTGCAAAACATCTGAATGTAAAAGCTTCGAAGACTATGAGCAGAAAACCTGACTTGGGGCCCCTCCTCTACCACCCAGTCTGTTTTTCATTGGAATATGAATTGTGATTGCCATTGTTAGCAGAGCAAAGAGATGAATAAAGAAGTGATTTGTCAGGGTCAAAGTTGCAGAGGGGTTTAGAGATTAAAAAAAAAAATTGATAAAACTGACAGGGAAGAAAATTAATGGCAAAAGAGTAACAAAAGGAGAAGCAATACTCAACAGGCAAATTTTATATTGTCAAGTCAACTGAGAAAAGGATGAAAATTAGCACATGATAATAAACAGGAAAGAGAAGAAAGATTTTGGTTTGGTTGGTGAGGAAAGGATCACTGAAATTAAGAAGTAAGATAGAAGGAATTAAAGGAGATACGCAACACCATGCTGCATTTACGTAATACCTTGCTTTGCAGACAGGACTCCGGTCAGAGCACTGCTACTGGATCTACTATGAGTCTTTGAATTTTTTCGTCTCTCTAGTGCGTTCTAAGGAAACAGCGAATATCTATTTAGAAAAACAGTACCCAACAAATCCTTTCATTAGGAGTAAAGAATCTTTTGGATTTTGGTCTCAGAACAACTCTGCAGGGCCTGGAGCTTACACCCATAGTAACCCGTCGGAGCGTGACTCTCCTGGAGTATTATTCTCCAGCCAAAACAGTCTTTGCAACGTTACAAAGACTCATTCTGTCTCATTGCAATCACTTATTGTAGTCTCGCCCACCCTCTCCCCCCAATGCATTTTTAAGACTTGCCTATTTTTTAATAATCTGCTGAGTGCCAGTGAAGATACTGCAGTATCCTGTAGAGAATATCAGTTGGGAACAAAATTGGACTTTCCCCACCATTTCTTTGGATAGGCTTCAAAGGGAAAGCTCAAACTCCTCTATCGGAGTTTCTACAAGCCCTTTTAGTAGCAAATACTGACTTTGAGGAATTATCAGCAGAATGACCCTGCTACAGAAGTCCAGCTCTTCCAAAACAATTACAGTTCTGTGAAACCCACCAGACCACCAAGATGCTCAGTTCTCACCAATAAGCTAACTGACACTCTGAGAGACTCGAGTCATAAGCGTGAACGGACACTGAAATGAACTTGGTACTTTGAGGAGCTTTGCCCAAGCACAAAAAAGCAATTAGTGCTGTGACTGCTTCACAGTGACCTAAATGGTTAAGAAGTCCTATTGACAGTCCTAAGACCACCCTTCTCATGCCTTGACAAGCAGCCTTCCCCTTCCACACCCCAAAATCACTTGCAGAAGAAAATAGAGTGCTTGACTTCAGGGAAGAATATTTTGCCCTCAGGATTCAGTCATCAAGGTTTCATGCAAAACAGCATATATCTTAACCCAGGAATGGAAGAACAAGGAAGACTTAGCAATCATTAAGACACATGAAGAAACAGGGCAGCCATTAGGGTAGAGGGAGACAAGAGCTGCTTGTGACGGCAACACAGTCGCAGCCATTCACCACTCACTGCGTGACCTGCTACGTTTCACCTACCAGCAGGCTGGGAGGCTGATCACCCTCCCCAGCAGGAGGAGGGTCCCCCCACAGAACTTAAAAAAAGGTATTTAATTCATTTTTCAAAATACTCTTAATGGGTATCCCTTTGTACTACATCAGCTAAGAAGCCTACAAGGAAGACTGAGCATGTAATACGTATACATACTAATATTGTCAGAATGTTAACGGCGGATTTTTCTTTGAAGACACAATTTTGTTCTTTAAATGCATATGAACATGAGAATGAACAATAACCTCCATGAACAACAAAGCACAGTTCAGATGATACACTGCATGTATCTGCAAGGATCTTACCTTATATTTAGTAATATTAGACTTAAGAAGGTTGACTTCCTCTTGAAGTTGTTTTAATCTCTCTTGAAGATACCTGAAAAAGAAATGTAATCCTTTACTTCATGTTACCTTCAAGTACTGCCTCAAGCGCTCCTCTTTACTATTTCGCATGTCCTCTCTTTGAACTACTGAGAGTTCTTTTCCCTCTGCAGTTTTGTGAGGGATAAAATAACAAAATCTTACTGCTCTTGACCCCATAAAACTTTAAGTAGGGAAACAAATTGCATCAGAAAAGGAGGCTGCCCTTGTGTTAGATTTGTCAAGCATGCTGCACAACCATTTTATATAGGTCCTCAGGTTTTTGGGGAGGGAAGCTAAAAGGATATATTTATGTCTAGAGGAAATAGTCAGGAAGCATTTATTTGTGTCCTCTGTAGTTGAAGGTTTGCGAGATGGACGCATGAAGATTTGTATATATGTCAACACAAGACTCAACTATGCAGAACTTTTGCATTGCAATATCCATCACTTACATGGCACTTCTCATTAGCAATCACAAAGTAGAAAATTTAACAGTATAGTTGAAAAATGGTATACAGTTAACTGAAACAGTACAGTTCTTCCTAATAGAGTTTATGCACTTGGATTAGACAACTGTTTCCACATAGGAAAATATATTTTTCATTTATAAAGGGTGTATAAAATATCCTCTTTCATGTAGCGCAACTGCAGCTGTATTAGGGTTTGTGACAATTTGACTATTTTAGAGAAAAACATCATATCACTGTCAGGGGAGCAGGGGTCTTAAGTTGATACAGAAGTCTGTAGGCCACGCAAACGAGAAAAAAACCCTGGAGTTGCTGGGAGGAAGTAATGCCTTTGGTATTACGCTTTCCTGCCCGAAGCATAAGTCTCTGCAAACAGATAGTGTCTTACAAGATCTGTTTCATTTTAAGGTAATTGTTGACATTAAGGGCGGTACCTGCTATGGCTCTGTCAGTGACACCTCTCTCTCATCCTTAGCAGAGACTATAGAACACATTCTTTTCCCAAGGAAGTGGCAAGAATATCTACATGGGTGATTTCACCAGCAACTTTTGTTGGCAAATCACTCCATGTTGACAACCTCTCCCTGTGGTGACAATTATGTCTGAAGCGCAGGGTACAAAAAGTCCCTGTTCCCAATCCAGGATTAGCCCATTACAGCTAACTATGAGTTTCTGAAGACACCAATTTTTAATATTCTTGCTTTTGGTGCCAGTGATGGGAATAAAAAGGTCTGTGCTTCTCTTCCTTTTCCGTGTTTAGCTCTATTTGGGAATATCACTGACATCTCTGTAGCCAAATAAAACATTGGTAATTTCCTGTAGCTGACTTTCTCAATATTATTTGATGGTTAGCTACAATACAAACAAAACAGACAAAACAGATTACGAAAATCTCTTAACTTTTATTCTTGGATATATTTTCTTTAAAGTTTTGTTGTGACTGACTTCCTGATGCTCCTGTTAAAGCAATACACTGCTTGTTCTACAGAAACACTAAGGTTTGCAATGCACTCACCTGTTCTCCATACACAGAGCATCTACGTCGATGATACGGTTTGCATGCCCTCCTAAGACATGGTTAAGCTCTTGGTTTAGTCTGTCAGACTTATCTTGGTAAAAAGAGCGTTCCTCTTTCACATCCTGTAACTCATCCAGTGCAGCCTGAAGATCGTATCTCAGAGTCTCGATCTGAGAAGAAAGGAGAGCTGTATGACTATTTTGAAGCTTAAACAAACTGAAAACAACAACAAGCACTGCATGTTTGAACAGGATTGATTTTGGACAGTCAAAAATCTTTCTGAAGCTCATAACCCCTGGCACTTTTACTCTATTTTGGCATTATTTCATTAATTTGAAGTTAAGTAACTTTAGCAGTTAGACTTGTTTTACAAAAGTTCTAGAAAACAACTGAAATGTAACAAGAAAAGAAACCTTAATCCATACTATAATTCTGCTACAAACATATTAAGCTGGTTTTAGTATGCAATTTCTAGGACTCCAGGAATGAACTTAACTGAATAAGAATTTGGCAAATTTGGAGGATGAAGAAAAAGTCTGTAAGGGGGAATTTATACTAATTACGGGACTTTGAGCAATGAAGTTCCAAAGAACAGGAAGAACAACTGAGAAAAGTACAAAATAAGCCAGCATGGAGTTGACAGGGTGAGCTTTGCTATTAAGCAAAAGGGTGGAAGATTCCAGCATGAAACATACTCAAAGACCAAGAGCTTCAAACTTCCAAGGAGAGGAATACTGTGAGAAAAGTCAGCAATGAGTTGAGAAGTCTCCACTGGCACCTCAGAAAACACTGAGAAGCCAGGAAGGACAACAGAACACCATGTGAAAAGAGGCCAGGTGATGGACAGAGAGAGCGCAAGCTTGGGAACAGAGATACCAGACAGAATCACACTGCAAGAAGACCAAGTGCAGCCAACAATCCTTCTGGTAAGCTAACGTAGCGCTGCGCTTGAGTGAAGACTGAAAAACAAGAAATACACACTTCTTCTTGGATCACAGAATGGCTCATTCAGCGTGGAACTGTCATTGGTAGGAAGGAGTGTGGGAACAACAGAAAACACAAACCCCCAAAATTGTCCAGAAAGCTATGTATCGGTATTAGGGAAAG